GCTCAAGGATGTTTCTGCAAGGAAATCTGAAATACAATACTTTACCTCTCTTTTACTGGCAAATGCCACATTGCTTTAAAAGGAGTGCTACAGCCCTGTTTCACGAGCAAACACCAGGCAGACAAACTGGGCAGATTAACTTTCCCTCAGGCATCCACAGGCAGAGCCAGCAGTATGAATTTGGCCCTCAGAGCCCCATCTGGTGCCCATCCAGCAACTCTTGGGGATGTAAGATTTATCTCATATTTGCAAGTTTTCTGATGAGTGCCAGGGCTTTATGAACATATTGTGAATCCTTAACATTTCTCGGTGAAGTATTTTCACCAGGAAAGATTACTTGAGTGACAATTTGTGCTGTAAACTATATTACTCACTGTTCCCCATTGATTTTGTTTATCATATTTTATTCAACTACACAGAGAAAAACCAAGTTAGAYTCTGCCACCTCTCCTCACACTTCTATACTCTTGCAGAGCATGTTTCTCATCAGCAGACACAAGTGTGGAACTACTGAACCCTAAATAAGTAGAAAATAATGCATTTAATGCTCGGATTGATTCAAAGTGCAAAAGACAAAACCTGTTCCCTTTGTTGCTATGTGACATATTGAGGACTGATAGGCAAGCTTTATTATTATTAACTACACTTTGTTGATACATGCTGTTGATTTACCAGTGATTATGCCAGAGAGTAAAAGATTCCTTCAGGGAGWAGCAGGGAGGGAAGTGTGTCTTCAGGAGCAGCTGTGCAGTTTAAGAGCTTCATCTCTGTAGCAGCAATTGCTGCTTCACAGATTGAGGGAGGAAAAGCTGAGTTCAACTATCTTTACCAGAAATGCACTGRATAGGTGGCTGCAGTTCATCTGCAACAAGACACTATGGGAGATGTTTTGTCTCTATTTTAAGCTTGAAAAAAAATGCTCATTCCAAAGAAATTTATTTCAGTAAGGTTCAGATCATAATTTAAGAGCTGATGCTGCCTCAGGATGTTGATAACTTACTTTAAGCTTGGTTTTCAGTCTTATGCCTCAGTGGGACTGAGAAGTTCATCAAGTTTTGCCCTAGTGACTGGGTAGCACTCTCCAAAGTACCCATGTGAATATAGGGGACCTTATTTAGAAATGTGAAGCCGAATTTCAGAGGTTGTGTATTCTGTAGCCTTTTTGTGGTTTTCAATGGGGTAACAGTAGAGCTGTAATKGTAGACCTAGGTGATACTGGAGAGTGTTGAACTCCACATGCAATCCTTCCTAATTCAGCTTTATGACTACTGGGGAACTCACATTTTTAAATACTTAAAATACTACAAGCCTGACATATCAGCACACAAATTTTGCAGGGCTGCTTAAAAACTTTTTTATAAGAGATCTTCAATTAAAACAAACAATTGAAAYCAAAATATTTTATGATATTCTAACACTTTCTATTACTCTCATCAGATTAGAGTCTAGAAGGACACCTTAGATCCAGACAGAAGGGAAAGGGTAAAAAGAAAGAAGAAAGGAAAATGAAAAGGAAAGAGGAAAGGAAAGGGGAAGAGGACAAAGGATGCCTGCAAACAAACAAGGACAATTGTTTGAGATGAGAGAAATGCACATGCAAATGCTCTCTTTTGATGCTTCATGAAATAACTTGACCCAGAATATTTGCATGCCAATTAGCCATGTGTCTATCTCCCACTCCTTCAGATTTTACAAAAATGTCAAATAGTCTTGTTTTCATCTCAATGCAAAAAGGTTGGAAATCTTTGTATCTCAAAAAGGTTGGAAAAAAAATTTCCTACTCAGTTCAATTGAGAACTGAGAATCCAGGTAAAATCATGGTGAGCRGGGGGCAGACACCACACTGCGATCTATGAAATGCCAGCCAAGCAGCCTGCTTTTAACACAACCCCAGAATAGCATTCCTTGCTATGAAAACCTCAGCAGTATTGTGCATTTTAAAAAATTTGCTCAAAGGCTTATGTTTTTAAAATGACCCTTCCACCTACTCTATTAATTACCAACTCCAGTACAAAACTGACTTTTCTATGGCCTCAGCATGCTCTCCAAGTGCACATCATTTWAAAACTGTGTTCTATAAAATGTCTAATAACAAGACTTTACAATGCATATATGACAATCATTTAAAGAATGAGATTAAATATATTGTAGAAATGTTGTTTAAAAAGAGTTGCTAAAGGTTTAGGGAAGTGTGTACATTTTAAAACTGTGCTTCTTGACTGCTGTAAGAATTTGAACATTACATGCCAAAGTTTTCAATATTAACTGGTGCTTTTTGGATACCCTAYTCCAAGATGCTGATTTTAAGTAATTCTTTAACAAGGTGCTTCAAATTTGGCCAGAAAAAGGTAGACAAGCTCACAAATGTTCCCCAAAATACCTGGGCCTCAACTTTCTTATGGATATTGAAGKTTAGCCAAAAATGTTTTTCACGAAAGTATAAACCACCTCCAAAATTTCTCACACAACTAAAACTCATTTGGTGTAAAACTTCTCAGGTTCCAAATGGAATTTCTGAAACACTATTCAGAAACATAGAGAGGTGGGGAAAAAAATCTCTGAGAAGATGGGACATTTGGTTCTGTGGAGCAGGAAATGAGCTTGTCCTGCTTCAGTTTTGCTCCACTCCACTCAGCAGGTTCTCATGTAAAAGATCAGTGCTACAGACTTGGAAAAACAACCCCAACAGAACCAACAGAAAATTCTAAGTGAGAAGGAAACTTCAGCACATGGTGGAGTAGATGAGAGATAAGAAAGGAAAATAATTTACCCCTTATTATAAAGCAGCCCAAAAGCTGACACATCCCAAAATTGGCCTCTCTTCCTTCACTACCCTGAAATCAAAATTCTTCTATAGGGTAATGATGTCTTTTTTACACAGCTCTTAATCAATAGCTTGCTCAGTTAATACTAGATTGTCTTTGAGCCTACTGCAATTCCAAGACAGCAACTTCCTATCTAAACTACGTGGTGTGGCTTCTTCCCACAGGGACAGTGCAGCCTCAGAATAAAGCACGAGAACACTTACGRAAAAACAGCTTTCAACTTCAGCAAACCATGCTTAGAGGGTACATTCCTCACACTGCCGGGCTTTGTCCCACAACCAACATATCCTGCTGTCTCCATAGACCACGCTTCTCATATTTCTCCCCTCTCTTCCTGGAAGTACAAATGCAAGGGAGTAGATATCTGTCACCACAAACCTGCACCATGAAGCAGATTTAACACCACTGGCAGGATGACAGTAAAGTCCCCTGAGCAGAAATAAATCAGAATGCAATCTCAATAAACTACAATAGTTTTTCATCTATCCCAATTCGGGTCCAACAAGATCCGCACTGCATTTTACTTACAAGCAAAGAGGAGAGAAAATAATGCAAATTAACATTGTGATCATTTCTTAAACTGCACTCTCRACCCTACAGAAATAAATGCAAGTTCCTTGCAATTTCTTGTCTCCCTTTCTGATCTGACCTTTAAAATGATAAACGGCAAAGGGAAGGTGGTGCCTTTAAGCCACATCATGAGCTTTATGGAGACAAGCCAAGCAGCTACTTAGGCAACCATTAGGTCAGGAAACAATCGCTTCCATCATTCCCAACACGTGTGTCAACATAATTCCATGCTCTCTTTGTCATGCAAAAAGTCCTGGCAAAGTAACCGGATACACCCAGAAAGCAGGAGCGAACTAAGCTCATTATGTTAACCGGAGATCCCACAGCAACCTCCAGTGCCATAGAAGGAGACTTCCCATGTTTTGCAGTRTAGAAAAGGAAACTCACTGCGCTGAAAAGGGCCCGAGCCAAGCCTGACTTCAGAAGTGTATGAGGGAGCTTCACAATTGGGTTCAGAGGAAAGGGATCCCTGACAAGCACCAGAAGCTGTGTCAGGCAGTGTGATGACAGGCATTGCAGAAGGTATGACACCTCTCATAACTACGGAGCCTTCCCTCTCCTGTGAGCTCGCTGGAAACCTTCCAGCCATGCTAATATGGCTCTGCAAAGAGAAACCACTGCCAAATGGGAGTAGCAGCTTCTCTAACTCTTTATTGTTGTCATGGGTAACTCCGGACTTTGTTTTCCTTTTCAAGGAAGATTCAATGCATTTTACAACCATTAAACATCTTTTCTTCTCTCCATCTATACTTGTAACTCTTACTAACAGCAAAAGGCTTGTGCACATCAGAATGGCTGGCAACACTACTCTAATGGCTTCTTTGTGTGGTCAGGTACAGGAGCAAGGCCTCTCAGTCYGTCTGGAAAAGTGCTGAATACATCTTGGGTGATCTAGCAACTATAGAAGTCGATAAGTATCCCAGAGCATAAGTGTTTATTTAAAGATAAGCAGCTGGTGTTTTCATTAACAATTTTTGCTGCATCCTCCGATTCCAGATTCAGYGCAGTGAGAGTAAAGTCCTAATACTGCTGGATATTTTCAAGCTMTTTCAAACTTGAGCTGCTTTGCCTTGGTAAATGCAATGGTAACACRCATTTTTCAATCCATTTTGTCTCTTGAATTATTGCAAGTCCAATTGTAGTTTTAGTAATGCATTCAGCAAAACACAACTCCTCAACAATCCATGTTCACAAAGGCCTACAAGGGCTAAAAATGAGGATGGATGAGAACAGTAAAACCTTCTCCAGCATGTTGCTGACATCACTAAAGAAATCCAAGGACTTCTATTGATTGTTGTTTAAGCCTGTATCAGTCACACTACAAGCTTTCTTCCTTAAGATGCCGTATTTTTGGCAGATGCCATTACCACCCAAATACTCGAGAAGCAAWACCAGAGAGCACCATCCAAGTGGGCAAGCATAGCAGAACCCCTCCCCCAGCATTATCGCTGGAGTGGGAATAAGCATCTGGTTCTGACTTCATCTTCTCTCTGCTCCACCACTTTGGGCAAATTTACACTATATAAGTTTCTGAAAATGTACATCAAATATTACAGAATTTCATTAAMAAGTCAAATAAAATAAGAGAGTAAAAAGTGAACATACCTGAATAAGAGAAACGTTGTGTAGACTAAGTCTGAAGAGGTAGTTCCTGCATGAACAAGCAGAAAAATTACAAACTATTAGGCTACCAAGGAAGGAAAGGAAAAGTTATTAAAGCAAGTAATAGTTTTTGGTCATTCATGTCTATAAACAAAAGGTTTTCCTGACACCTCTCCACAGAATTCAAAAGTGGTTGTATGCCTGTTCACTGACTTGTTCAGCAGTGTATTAGTATACCTGGTAACAAAGTTCTGAGCAGGTCCTAGTACTAAATATTCCAGAATCCATAATGAAGAACCACAATGAAATCCCAACCACAAAGGGCCATTTGCAAACTCTCAGCAGGCTTTAGTTGAAGTCCATATGGGCTGCAGTCATGTTTTCCACTGAATTCTGAGAAAACTGGGATTGGACAGAAGCCAGCTGGAGCAGAGCTGACTCTATAGTGTGCTCTCCCAAGCCTGTCCTTGTGGGAATTCCCATTCAGGACTTCGTGGAAAAAAATAGAGGATATGCTTCTCAGTGGAATCTCTCTGCACAGAAAATCAGCAGGGAAATCAAGGCAGTGACTGCAGATATTCCCAATCCTCCTGTCATCGTCTCTTCACAGGCAAAGCGAGGGAATTCCTGACAGAAGTCACTGTAGCATGAGATACCACATATTGGCTGAGCTCCTGTCACCCTTCTGAATGCTCATATCCCATCACAAAGAGGAGGCAACACATATTTGCATAAACATCTATAGATAAGGCTTTGTTAACAGGATTTATCTCACATTTTTGCTTGCTAGGACAATGCAGTTACCAGGAATCAGCTGACATATTAAGCCATACAGACTGGGTTGTGTGCTTGAGACTTTTGACCACATCTAACTTAGTTTTTTCGCATCCCATCTGTCAGGAGGTCTRAAGAGCTGAGCTCCTGCTCCAACATCCCTGTCACCACAATCTCCCAGAGAAGACACATTTCTATTATACAAGGTGAATTGAATGATGCTTCTGGAAGTGGCTCTGTGTCAGTGGTAGAAAGTGCAGYTTTGATGATACAGTTTCATCTTCTCTAGAAGCACCTGTATACARACTTTCCCTCATCTAGTGAGAACACAAATCCAGTTTTAGGTCAGTAAAACCAGAGAAAGATTCCTATGGTGATGAAAAGGTCCTAAGGACCCTTCTGAAGAGCCTTCTTAAGTGTCTGTACAGCAGCACACTCTGCCCAAGCAAAGAAAGTAATTCAAACTTCAACATGAGAGATTTGTATTGGGTCACAATGACCATGACAAGGCTTGAGCARTTTTTCCTCCTTCTGTTATGTATCACTTGTGTATCACCTAAGTCATAAGCRTAGAGTTGCCTGTGTACTTTGTTCCAGTTCCAGAAAKAAATCAAAAGCTCTCAAATGCTGCTGACTGTTAACAAAGAAGAACGGGAACAAGGATGGTGGGGAACTTGAGAACTCCTGATACCAAATCTTCAGCTGATGTAGCTCTGATTTGCTCTAATTTGCACCATTGTATTCTGTACTGGGACTGGTAACCCAGAGAAGAACGAGACCCATTAGCAATATCTGAAGAAAATATATCAGTGATTATGATATGTCCTGTAAGTACAGAGAGAAATACACAGACACGCRCACACAGCAGAAATCTACATCCTCTCTCCTAGTCCTATCACTGAAGATCCAGCAGTTCTTTTGTACAATCTGAAACCTTATTCGGTTTCAAAGGGATGCATATGTTAAAAAAAAATTGTTATTAACTCTTTAGCATCAGCCTTAAATATAGGCTGCATGAATCAGACCAGAAGCACTAAGCTACACACAGCTAAAATTTCAAAATAAGATAAATTCTCATCCAYTGATGGATCTGACAGCTCCCTTAGAACACCACATTGCTACTCACACCAAAATATTAATGCAACTCCAGACATGAGATATCATGGAATAAGCCTTCTYCTGGAGAAGGCCTCCAATCTTACAATACCCTCAGGGAAAAGTTCTCATAACTAGAGACTTGAAGTTTCTCTCCTGTTGTTAAGCATGCTATTTAAATGCATTGATTTTGGAAGCCTTATAATGCAGATTTCAGCTCCTTGTTCTAGGCTTGCAAAAAGCTGGACAGTTTGACTAGGTAATAAGTTTTAATATTAGCAGGTTTTTTTCCCCGATAGCACTGCAGAGCAAATTCAACCAAAMTATCTTTAATGAAAGAGACACATCTAAAGGACACAATTTTCATCGCACTCAGCCAAAAGAGATGCAGAGAGGAATAGTGTCCATTTCAATAAAGCCAGTCTGTCCTCTCAGTGACTGCTATGCAGCACCTGGACAAAGCAACTCGGGTGGCTGAGACCCAAACCAGGCAGGAACATAGCGCTAATGTGAATAGCACAACAATSTTCCAAAAGCTTTATACTAACCTTAGCTCTCTAAGTCTGGCCTTGGGGCTTTCTTACAAAAAGGAGGGTTTCCCTACAATTTTCATCAGCTTGCTTCACCTGGTGTCTCTACAGGCACTAGCAGTTTCTTTTTATTTGGTTGATCCTTCTCACATCTTATCAGCAGCAACACAAACACCTGTAGGCAAACCAGGTTGTCAGAATCACCTCCTGACTCCATTTGACCTGCCCAGCTAGAACTGACTAATCCTTAATTATTAACATGCTTTTTCAAACATACTTGTTCTAGAAAGCTATACCAGGAGTAAAAAGCCAAAGGGAAAGATTGGCTGAATCAGACAGTGTCAATTTATGAATTGCATTTTAACTGCAATTTCAGTCCAAGAATGAGCAAAGCCTCTGAATGACAGGCATGGTTTATTGTAGCTAGAATTGCCCCATTTGTGTCCTTTTTTTCTGCTTGTGTTTGAAGTTATGTCTGTTTAATACCTTGTTGAACTATAATTTAGAGCAGCTGAAGGAGTATGAGTAAGAAATATGTAAGAACACAGATCTCCACATGAATGGATGAGGTGCCTTCTTGTTTTTTTTTCTATCTTTTTCCTCACATTTTGTCTTGTAAGTGAATGCTGGTTAATTCCTTTCTCTCCTAAATTAAACCCACTGGACTAGGCCAGAAGAGCAATTGCCTGGATATTCTAATTTCCTCCTTCTTCTGTATAAAAAGCTGGTGCACAAAATTGGAGGAATAGGACAACCTTCTGTCCTAAAAGGTTGCCTAACTTCACAGTGTTAAAAACAAGTTTTGTTTCATGCCAGATTTGGYTGCATTTCAGCCATCTCCAGAGCAAGTGACTACACTCCTCTGAGTACTCTGGGACAAATGACATTATGCCTCAAACTACGAATTATTATTACAACTAACCTCATTTTTCATAAACAACAGCCTTTCTGAAAATGCCCATGTTAAAGAGTCATGCCCTGAAGTCTCAGCCAAGGCTGTGGTTTTGTTGCATTAAGACAGAGAAGGTTGATGATGTTTCCTCTGGAGATTGATTCTCAGCCAATGCCTGTTCAAACAAACCTGAGGGCAGATTCTCTCTCTGTCACCTCTGATTGCAGTGGGATATTATTCCCCAGCTCAGATACRCTGAGTTAGCTGCTGTAAAGACTGTTCTGCTCTATAAAACCTAGGCATAAAGAATTTGCCATCTGAATAYATACAGAAGAGAGAAGAAGATACATAACTCTCATTTAAGTTTAGAGCACTGATTGAGCAACCTAGCCAACATGACAGAWCATATCTGCAGCACAACCAGGAGCTGATCTCCTGGATCATTAGTTTATGCCCTAGTTAGGAGAATAACTTGCCCCAAAGTTGGGGCACAGCATGTAAACCTGTGCTGAAGTGTCATTTACATTCATGGGTAGATGTCAAATTACTTTCTTGAACTGGGAACTCTATGCTGTRTGCATATGACCACAGCCAAGCTGAAGCAGAAATCCTGTAAATGAAAGTGTTTGTTAATTGGCTTTGTAATTTGTATTTGGCTATTTGTAAAATGATTAAGTGCTCACTGTGCCTGGTACCACAAAATATACATACCAGAACAGCAAGAGAGCAGCTGAGATGTGTTTCAGGAAAGGGTGTGGAAGAATATTCCCACTTAAATCTGTTTGCCATGACATTTCCAAGTCAAACCTGCTTATTAAGTGTTTATTTCATGTAGCCAATCGCACCGTGGGTGAACTTTGTAACATGGTGCCCATGCACTTGTTCACACATTGCCTGGCCCTGCAACAATTTACTTTGAAGCCAAAGCCCTTCGGCTGTGATGCTGCTGAGCAACACATACATGACAAATTTAAGCCTTTCCATTGGGAAGCCACATAACAAGAGTGCTTCAATAATAACAGAGACTCTTCGTTTTAGGAGCTCTGAAATTATAAGGGTTGCAACATGCTTCAGTCACTCCCTTTCAGYGCCTCTTTTCAGGCACCACATCTGTCAGCACTGCACTGGCTGATTAAAAGGTGCATCCTCCTAATTAAGAGAGAGCAGCTTTTCAGTTCTGCTGCAGTAGATYGGGAGGAACATCCCTGCAGTCGATTGGCTGATCATGTATAAATGAGAGGCTATCCTAGCTTCAGATTATTTTTGCTATTTAAATGAGTGAGGCTTGTTCATATTTCCTAACTTCTCACACACCGAGTTGGTAAGGAAACCTCTCTATATTTCAGAATAACCCCTGCTACCAAACTGGCAGTCACAAGAACCCACGTGCTGACCACCACCAGAACCTGTCAGGACTAGGACCCACACACAGAAGCCAAAAAAAAATGCTGCCTTTACTTAGCTGGTCTCTATCACTACAAGACATGTTCCACCTGTGTGTCTGTTGCTACTTCCCTGCACCTTACAGTAGGTGTGAGAAGCTCCACCTTCCCTCCTTACAGGGCAGGCTATCTCTAACTCCCTCTCTTTCTAGGCAGTTACTCTGCAAGTAGAAACAAAACCAACAGAAGCTGATAATAATGTCTGATCATGCAGAAAAAATACACGTAGAGAGAATGTTGTGGTTTAACCCTGGCCACTAAGTACCATGCAACTACTCGCTCACTCCCACCTTCCCCAGKGGGACTGGGAGCAGAA